TTTCGATTATGTCCTATACTGCCAAGTAATTACTTCTTTTTTTTTTTCTTAAACTAATTATCTTTGCATATCTTTTTTTAAAAAAAAAATCACTCTTCATGCTATTGCAATGTCTAAGCCTCAATATGCTCAAGTTCTATGAACAGAAAACTCAATTTTTTCTTTCATTTTTCTCTCTATCCTTAAATGATAAAATATTTACTAGCTGTTGTTATTTATTCATATTGACTTATCTTCCAAATTGAATTCATATTTAAGGTATGCAAGCTCATTCTACGGTCCCTTTAGAGAAGCATTGGACTCAAATCCACGATTCGGAGATAAGAAAACGTATGTATATGTGACTTATTGTTTTGTTCTTTTCGTAAAACAAATTGCGCTAACGAATTTTACTGTTTTACTGAATATTATTTAAAAAATAGTTATCAGATGAATCCAGCAAATTACAGAGAAGCCTTAATTGAAACACGTGAGGATGAGTCTGAAGGAGCTGATATTCTTCTGGTTAGCATCATTTATTTTTTTTTTTTATGCAAAACTTGAATTCCTTTCCATTGTGGGGCATACATAATGTTTGCTTATGAAAAAAATTCTTCGGACTAATATAGGTGAAACCCGGGTTACCTTACTTGGATATAATCAGGCTTTTGCGGGATAATTCTCCTTTGCCAATCGCTGCATATCAGGTAAAGTTCACATTGTGAATGTTGGTGCCTTAGGGTGTGATTGGTTATAATATATTGGTATTTAATTTATTTATTTATTTATTTTTTTTGGTTAACTAGGGTTAATTTTGAAAAAGTTAGTAGGATTAGTATTTGGTGGAAATTTAAGTTTGTATTAAAATAATATTTAAAATAAAATGATTAAAATTGATTTGATGTAAAAGCAAATGATTGGAAGGGGTAGGTAGTTAAAATTATATAAGTGGATGAATAGTGATTAAAGATGATGTGATGTGTATGAATGATTGATTGATATAATATCAATAATATTGAGGATATTGGAGTTGAGTTAAAGTTTGAGTTGAGATTGGATATTTTTGTAAATTTTTTTTGTAACCAAACAAAGCCTTAGCGCGCGTTTTCTCCTTTTTTACTTGCTCGAAAAAAATGTGTGCTATACTAGGTTTCGGGGGAATATTCGATGATTAAAGCCGGTGGTGTTCTGAAAATGATTGACGAGGAGCGAGTGATGATGGAATCGCTGATGTGCCTCAGAAGGGCAGGTGCTGATATCATCTTGTCGTACTTCGCCATGCAAGCAGCTCGATGCTTATGTGGCGAGAATAGGTGAGAGAGAATATCTCTAATGTATCTGCCATGAACTGCAATGTGTTTGTGTAGAATTAAATTTTCATCGTATTAAATCGAGCTAATGTTAGAGCCTCAGAGTTTTTTACTCTTTTTCGGATTTGGAGATGATTGAGAAGTTTGACAGAGTGATTTACACAGGTAAGTGTGATTGTGTGATAATATCATTCTCTGGGATTTTTATTAATTTTATTTTTTATATATTGATGTATAGGATTTTTATTAACTTTGTTTTTTGTCAGTATCATTCTCTGGGATTTTATTTTTTACAACAGCAAGAAAGATAAAAATAAATTGAGAGTTACTGAACACAAACTGTAACTACAAAATGCATAAGCCACAAAAAGTCCCTCATCTATATATTAAGCACAACTTCAAGATGATACATATAGAAGATACAAAGAGATTGAGAAAAAAAATAAAATAAAATAAAAAATCAGGTGACCCTTATGGAATTTGTGTCTCAAAAGAGGATAAAACTCAGAAGGGGGCAAGCAAATAAATAGATTTCAATTCCAAAAACTGTACAACAAAAAAGGGAAAAAAGAAAAAATTACAGATGTGTACAGCTTCCTTTGATTTTCCACATTTAGGACTGTGAAAATGTCACCATCTGTTTTTCAGTTCAAACTCTTCTTCTCTTCTTGAAAATAATCGGCTGATGTCGGATCAAATACAACCATCATACGAACCGAACATCATATCCAGAGAGGGCGCATGTTAAGTGCCGATAAAGAAGAAGAAAGGAAAAAAAAAAAAAAAGGATACTTCTAAATATTGGTCTCATTTTAATTTGAATTGCTGAAAAATGTACTCTTTTTCGATCCTCCTTGCTCAACCGAGTCCCTCCATAGCCTATATCTTACTCCAAGCTTATCATAAGACACGGGCCAATTCCAAACGTTTGCGCCATTTAGCATTCGCTCTTGCTGGCCTAATACGAGCCTTAGGTCCTCGTTCAACACCTGTTTTATTTCAGTTTGAGGTTTAACATAAGCCAAGTGAATGTATGAAAAAAAAAAAGCAGGAAAAATATATTTTCACCTTCTCGGCGAAATGTCTCCACAGATGCTCCATTAAAGGGATGTGTTTGAGTATGGGAGCAAAATCGAGTGACATTCTATATAACAACCTCGTTTTATGTCTCGATGAAGGCAAGCAAACATGGAGTTGGTGAAGATGAGTTGAACATTCTCTTGTACTTTGCCCTTCCAATTTTCCGGGTTTTGATATACCGATTGTCGATAAAACCATGCAAGGTGGCCTGAACTCCATATCGATCGGGTATGGATCCCAATAGCCTTGCATTCCGGATGCCGGTGTTAAAAACTTCACCAAGCTGTGAATAATTAGAAACAAAATTAGCTTATAACCTTCATGTATTCAAATAAGTTTCGTTTGGTAGGATGGCTTTTTTAAAAAGTTTGAGCTTATCTCATAAATTTCTTTGGGTAGTTTTTCAAATAAGTTCGTTTATTTATCAAACACTTTTATCAACTAGCTCATCAGCATAGCCTATGTTTCTTTCATAAGTCAATACTACAAAGAATACCCGCACGGTTTTAACTAAGGAAAATCTCGGGTAGTTTTTGTGATTATATCATTAGTTATATATGCATTTCCATAAAGCCGATCGAACAAATATATCATTAAGAGTATCTGATGATACTGATTTTTCGCAATATTATAAACTGGGTTAGCTGTTGCTAGAAATGTCGAATCAAGTTAAGCCCGAAAACACACACACACACACACACACACACACACGAAAAGAAAAAAAACCTTGGAACGCTCCATCCCTTAGCAAATGTCGAGGTATGTGTAAAAGGAGCATGTGCAAGATCCAAAAGGTTGTCCAAAAGTAATCCATGCTCGACAGGAAGTTCCATCACAATCTGTGTTTTTTCGCAAGAAAATCAGAGTCAAGAAATTCCATATTTCGTTCTTTTTTTTTCTCTCTCTTCAGTTGTTCTTCTTCTTCTGGTCTTCATATAACCCAAAACAACAAAAACCATAAACAGTGTAAAATGCTATAAACAGTACCTCAGCATGTATTTGAAAACCGGGAGGTGGTAATAAAGAAGGAAGCTTAGCAGTCGGGGGATCATTGCCTGGCCAAATCCAAATCATACCCTCTTGCTCAAAACACGGCAAAGCCTTTATTTTTATGTCGAGTAATTTAGTCGATGGCATTTTCTCACATTTTCCACTCGTCGTATACTCCCACCCTAATATCAACGCAATCACATGAAAAATTTAAAAAAAAAAAAGTTACATTTTTTTTCTTTCTCTTGAGATTACAATGAAGAATAGACGAATAACTAGTTATATAATAGTGTTATAAACTGATCTTTACCATGATAAGGGCACTGTATACGACCCTCATTCACCGAGCCCAAATGAAGCGGGCAAGCCCTATGAGCACACGTATTTTGTACACACCCAGCTTTGCCATCTTTACCACGAAAAATAACCCATGGTTCTTCAAAACAATCTATTGGGACCTGATAGAAAAAATTACAAAATTTAACTAAATGTATGTAACTTTTGTAGGTACAAATTTATATTAAATATATAATTATCGAATTACATAATCCATGGTAGTTGAAAAAGGATTAAAAAAAACAAATTCATCATGCAATGTACTTATAACGAAACTATGAAGAGGCCCATTTTAATGATTAAAAGATCTATTTCTATATTCAAGATCGAGTATAATGAAAATGAATCTTAACAAAAAAATTTAAAGAATGTAAGAAAGTAAGAACGAGTTTTTAAAAAAGAAGTGCTCTCACCATTGTGTCATCCTTTAAGTCCGAGGAAAAAGCAACAGGGTACCAAAAGTTTTTCAAACGATCATTGTAAGGATGCACTGGTCCCGACACGTTAAGGTTTTTCCTTGATTTTCTGCTCTTCATAGTATCGGGACATCCTTTGGAAGTGCTCGGAGTAGTTGGGAGTAAGTTATCAGTTTCTTCTTCTGTTGTGTTTCGGTCTTGAACTATTTTATCGTTAATAAGTGTTTCCATATAAGCTAGCTTTTCCAAAGCAGTTGACACTCTTGCTTCTGATATATGTACCTGCGTAAATTCAAGTCGAGTCAGTTAAAGAGAACAAGTGTCATTTGCAATTTAAGATATAAAAATATTGTCCTTTCTTTGTAATCAAGAGAAAAACGATAAAACTTCATTTATATTTACACCAAAAAATTAGGCAAGCAACAAAATATATCCGAGATATAATCGAGACATAGACATTCCAATTTATTTACAAGCAATAAATTATTTGTTACCTGATTATGTGCTTGTGCCAGTTCTTCCTGTAAGTCAGCAAGTTCCTTCCTGAGAGTTCCAACCGATTTGAATTCACGAGCAAGAGGGTTTAATACTTCCACGACCTACGTTCAAGTTAAAATTTGAAAAAAAAAAAAAAAAGTTGCGAATAAAATAAATTTCACAAGAACAGTTACAGGTAGTACTACTTATAGGAAAACAGCCAAAGTTAAATGAAGTTAACAACTTAATCCAAATGCATTACATACATGAGCATGTGAAGAGTTCTATAGTGTGTTTGATAAGCACTAAAAGCTAATTTATACCTTATTTGGTTAGCTTATAAGCTTTGTTTGGCAGGACGAGTTTTGCTCGAGCTTATCTTATAAGTTTCTTTAGGTAACTTTCCAAATAAGACACTTTTACCATATCAGCTAGTTTTTTAGCCATAAACTATGAGCTATAAGTTCGAAATTCACTTATAAGCTATCCGCTAACTTATCAGCCAACTTATTAGCTAGATTACTTATCAGCTAGTTTTACTCATCAGCTAGTTTTACCAATCATAACTCTAATCTTGATCGCAGTTTAAAACATAAGATATAGGAAAACGTCGAGCATGATTAGCAGAGACGAATTATTCTATAGAGAACCTTTTCATGCAGAAGCATGATCGTGAGTACATCTTGTCGAGCCTTCCAATCACAATACTGTATGTCATACCTAGCCAACTCGAGTGCTTGATTCACGTCGAGAAACTTGCCTTTGTATTGAGGTACCTTCGAACGTGGGTCCTCTACATTAAAAAGTGTCGTCCACGGACTTTTCCTCTCGACCAATTCACCTCCCTCACCAATGATTGCAAATACTCCAAATCCTCCCTTTACACACTAAGATACACAACCCGCAAGGTTATTAAGTCAATAATGGAAGGAAATAATAATAAAGATTGTCGTAAAGTTGCGAGTCTAAAGGTAAGTAAACCAACCATTCATTTTTCAAGGGGATGTTCATATTTTCAGAACAACATATGAAATAAGTATGCATTTTTGTTACAAGAATTTGTGTAAAGACTATGATTACAAAAACTAGCATTGTGGTATGGCCTAATTATTATAGGGGAATGCTAAGGTCCCGTTATGGAACCATTCCGTCGGGTTTTGTAACCGTTAGATCATCATCTAACGGTCAGAGATAGTTTGATCTAACGGTTGCAAACCCGACGGAAAATCCCCATAACCAAGCACATACGCAAATGCAAGCAATCAAGAAAGGGCAGCAAAAACTGCAGACATAGAAACCCCATAACCAATCACACAAAATCTGACAGCAAAAATTCTTAAAAACCCACCAAAAATACTTGTCCTAAAGCAGAACACAACAACAAAAAGGGGCAAATTATTACAAGAAAATTGTGAAACTAAAACAATGAAGACCAGTTTTTTAAAGTACCCTTTTGCTGCTAAACTTGTTCGAACGGGAGAAAGATATCGGGAGAGACAAACCAGCAGCTGTAGCTATGGCGGCGGACATGGCAGGGCCGGGTCGGGTCGAAGCTGACGGGCAAGAAAACAAATCGGGCCGATGTCAGAGGAATAAAGAGAGAGAGAGATAAAGAAAAGGAAAACTGAGAGAGATTGAAATTTGTTGATAAGGGGTTGGTCTTGCGCGCGATCTTGGCTGTCCTTCTGCGGAGTGCCACGTGGAGCTTCGTGGAATCTCGTGGCGGCTTGCTTTCCACACACTGCCTCAAAAAATTCTCAACTTTTGCTCTGGGAATGCAGCAGTGTTAAAACTCTTGAGGGAGAGCTTTGCCGCCCTTGTGGTCCTACTCGAATCGATTCCGGATTAGTCGGTTCTCTTGTGGATCTGGAAATCGGAAGGTCCTTGTACCAAAAAAAAAATTCTCAACTTTTGTTCAATTTTGACACAATTCTGAAGTCTTCTTGCTAGATTCGGCTCGATGGCCGCTTGGCTTATATTTTTTGTATTTAGATCAATATTGAGACATTAATCTAGCTAAACCTAATGAATCAACACGAATAAGAAAATATTTTTTAATGTAATATTTCATGTGTATTTGATTACACATCAACTTAAACATGCCACCAAAAAACAAAATACGGCAATAGAGTGGGCATGATTTTTTTTGTTTCATTTAATTTTTTCGCATCATTCAAGACTTAAATCTATTATTTTCATGGCAGTTAATTAAAGATGAACTCAAATCATTATCGATGTTTCTAAGAGCATCTCAAGTACTTGGTCAACTTAAAAAACATATTAAATGTCATATAAAATTTTATTTTATTATTTTTTGGTAAAAAAAAAAGGAACAATTTGATGAAAATAAAAATAATTAAACTTTAAATGATATGGTATGTTCACTTTCATATTTGATGATATATATCTTTCTTTTCTTGATTGGCCAGCTAGGATAGTGAAGATATATCTTCTTCATCTGTTTCTTCATTTCATTTTCAAGTTTGTTTTTTCTAATTTCCATTTCTATTTAATGTAGACCACTACTTTTTATATTGTTTGGTTTTAAATTGATAATAATACGTTATACCCTTTTTTTTGGTTTTTTTATACATTTTTCATATACATGTAGAATATAAGCATAAAATTATGTGCACATAACAATTTAAACTGAGTGCTTGTCGGGTCACTAATTAGAAAATTATTGACAAAAAATAACATAAAATAGTACTTTGGAATTCAATGCAAACTTTGGATAAATGCAATATAATACTGACCTTTTTAAAAACCTCAACCTTTTTGCGTTTGGCGATTTTATCCCAAACTTTGGATAAATGCAATATAATACTGACCTTTGTTTACTTATTGCAAAATGGACTTTAGATCGGTCGGAGCTTCAAAACCCGCCAGCGTGTCCGGCAGCTTAAGTCGACGTGGAATTACCCATTTGCTGCGTGGATATAAGTTAATTAGGTGGAAAATTCTCATTTCTGCGTGGCATGGGTATAAAAACGGGTCCCCGTCACTCCCAAACACCCAAATTTCCAATCCCTAAATCGATCCCCAATTTGAATCCCTCAAAATCTCTCTGCACTTCTCCCTTAATTTACAACCCGTCACTTTCTGTAATTTGGGTGAAGATGTCGTCTTCATCTCAAGCAAGCCAGAGTTCCGGAAGAAGCTTTCCCGCAAAGAAGGTCTGTCGTCACATTGAGGAAGCTGACGTCTTAACCTCCATGACATTTGACAATGCTTGCAGGCGATTCTACAGGTGTCCGAACAGAAAGGTGATGTCTAATTTTAATTTCTCGATTTTACAATCTTAGAACCCTAATTTATTAAAAAAAAACTCAATTTCTATAAACCCTAATATTTTTTATTCTAATCTAGAGGGGATGACATCGGTTTCATCGAACTTCTCGATTTTACTCAATTTCTTCAAAAACCCTAATTTTTCAAAAACCCCAATTTCTCTAAACCCTAATTTTTCAATATCCCCAATTTCTATAAACCCTAATTTTCTGATTTTTCAATGCAGCAAGGGGAATGACTCCGGTTTCATTGAACTTCTCGATTTTAGTCAATTTCTTAAAAAAAACCCTAATTTTTCAAAAAAACCCCAATTTCTATAACCCATATTTTTTCAATTTGAAATGTTTAGCACGGGGATGACTGCAAATTCTTCGAGTGGAT